GCAAATTTGCTGAGAGTACATTCTACCTCTTCGTCCAGGCCATTGATGAATATATTGAACAGGGCACATTCATCTATGCAGGCACTAAACTGTCAGTTACAGAATGAAACATAGCTTAAGCTTAACAAAGGTTCTGCAAAGACTTCAAACTCATAGCTGGGATCTCTGTCTGCTTGTGGGCTGCAAGGATTTTGAAAGCACTTTGGGTTCCTCAGATCTCTAAAGAATTATAACCACATTTATTACCACTATCATTCTTTTTTACCAACTGCTGTTCATGTTGCACTTGAGAAATTCTTCAAGGAGACACAAACATTTGCCCTACCTGCTTTGGTTGTCACTTTCAGCAAATAACCATCCAAATTGATCTGAAATTGCGGTGTCTCGCAAGGTAGTGAGATGCGGGTCCCATTCCACTTCACAGTGAGGTGCTGATGGAGGCTGATAGTGCTTCTGCCCAACACAAGGTCCACTGACTTTGTCCAGGAGAAAGAACGGGTCCGACGGGCATCGTTTTTTACCAGCACCTGGAAGGGCGAGGCAGAGGAGGAGCAGTCTTTTGTCAAAACGTACTGACATGTTCCCTGAAAGTTAAATGTCCGTCCATCAAAAGTGTTGTAGTGAGGGTCTCCAAATACAGTGCAAACTCCAGGCTCTGCAGGTGAGTGAGAAACAAAAGCGCCATATAAGGATCAATCAAAGCTTGAAAAAAGCAGTTGTTAACAACTTAGAGGATGCTGCTCACACCTAACTTATCTGCCCTACAAGGCAGATTTGGTTGATGCCCGCTATGAATATATATTTTTGAGAAACAGAAGCTTTGTGACTTTAGTAGAAGTCTTTCCCAAAGCAGGTGGGAACCGCTATTTGGCCCACTTATCCCTGAGACAGCTTAGGAAGGTTAACAGCTAGCTAGGAACCAGAGACACATCTTCCAACCTATGTGTTTGTCCCTTAAACATAATGTACCACCCAAACAGTTTAGGTTATTGCAATGCCGGTTAAATTGTTAAAATTATTTCATTTCCAGAAAATACAAGCGCCCCTCATGATATTAGCGAGTGCGCTTGCAGAGCCCTCATGCCTCTCGAGACGTGTGATGGGAGCCTTCCCACCTAGCTCCAGTGTTCCAAAATTAGATGTCTAGTCTAAGCAATTCATCCAGTCTTCCTCTCACTGACAGAGAAACAGGCATGACTAGAAAGCCTTTCATCTCATCAGTTTTAGACATGTCTTTCAATATGTGGGGAATTACTCTCTGGAGAAGCCTGTCTGTTGCCAGCTCTGGGAGTACATGACTAGCATGATGCAATGGCTATCTAGGGGCACAGTGTCTCTACCAATCATTTGCATCATAGCAAACAGAGGGAGATTTCTCATTGATGTTTGCAGCCATACAATGGTCGGAGATGCCGCAGCTCAAAGGCAGAAAGTTTCCACACTCATGTCAATGATGCTGAGTTACCCTGCAGTTACCCAGCAATTGATTGAATTGTCTCACAATCAAAGAGAGCACCAAATTTGCTTGCAATTTGGCCTTCTGCTATAACAATAGGCCCTAACCACATCTCATTGCTGCTGTTCCTCTAAGAAGGAGTCTCAAAGCAAAGAAATGCACGCTGCTACTGCCAGCTGGATACCCATGTGCTGAGGCTGCTTATGAAAGAAGATTCCTGTTTTAGGGAGAGGGATTGGTGCAGTAACAAAATTTGACTCAGTAATCAGAGAGCTGTGAACAGCATCAATCAAAAGAGCAAAAACAAAAAAATACCAAACCAAAAACCAACAAAGGAGGGGAGAGTAACAGTGAATAAAATTTATTCACTAAGAAAAAATAAATTATCCAACTAACAATGGCTAGCCTGAAAAGGCAGCTAAAGAAAGGCAAATTCAAACCTCCAAAAAAGAAGGATATATGGATGTTATAGAGAAGAGGCAGGGAATTCCTTCAGTGGAGTGCAATGCAGCTCTGATGACACAATACACCTTTCTCAGCAGGGTTTTTCAGCCTAGGCAGAGTGCTATGCTAAGGCAGCTATAATGTTTCTGGTGTGTTTTTCTAGGTGCAGTTAAAGATGGTGCAAGGATACATACATTGAGACACAGAAAATGGGGCTAAAAAGGACCTCAGGAGACATCACCTCTTCCAGCTGTAATGCAGAATCACTTGTACTTATGTTATTCTTGACAGACATTTGTCTATCCTGCTCTTAAGGAGCAGTAGTAACAGCAACTCCACGGCCACCTCTGGCAACCTGCTGCAGTGCTCGGCTGTCCTTACTGTGAGTAAGGTCTTCCTAAAGTCTAACCTCAGTCTCCCTCATTGCACGGTGCAGTGCCATCATAGGGCTGGCGGTTGGGAGATTTGTACTTTATCCCTAACTTGCCATATGAGTGCTTCTTTAGCTAAGCCAGTAACCAGTCTTGGCATCATTATTGTAACTGTTTACTACATCTGGCAATCAGGGATCAAAAGTTTCAGTTTCTCAAGGACATCATGTTGACAGTCCCATTAGAAGTCAAAATGAACCATATTTGATAAACACCTCTGGAAATCAGCCTCGACAGACTTTAAGCAGAGCTTAAGCTGAAAACCAAGACACTAAGATAAGAGAGTGCTTTTAAAACAATGCACTTCTGTGAGTCTAATTTTCCTCACTGATACCAATAAGGATATCAACAACTATTTTCCAAAGTCCATAAAAAGATTACTTCGTTCTCCATAAATTGGCAGGAACCATACAGTTTTTAATCACTGCTGTAATTTTTACCAATGGGAAAAAAAAATCCATAGATTTCATATGGAGACCATCTGACTTTATGGTTACTAAATCATACTAACATGTTTCTGATTTCCTTATGTAGTCATGTAATTATCTGCATGATGAATATTAAGATACATTTTATTACCTGCTCAGATTCTCTTTCATTTTTTCAGGCATTAGACATTGACAACTTTTACCAAAACAGGGAAGCTATCAAGAAAAAAATCAGGCCCAACATCAGTGAAGATTTCAGACAGAACTGGTTTGAGTCTGTTTTTCTGGAAGTCAAGAATGTGGATATGTTATACATGTTAATTAACTAACATATCAGGAGGGGGAGGTTAGCGCTTCACCTAAGCAAGTGGCGAAGAGGCAAGACATGAGAGGAACAAACATAATTTAGAGATGTGCAAGTAAAATTGATAGTTCCAATGGGATCCAAGGGAAATATTTATTTTTAATTTCTAACGTGTTATGCAGAGTAATGTTGTTTTATGCTATGCTACATCGTATCACGTCATATGTCAACTTGATGCAGTGCAGTTAAAATAAAAAAGAATGTATTTTGGACTGGATAGCTGAATATCTGATCCAAATTTAGCTGTTTTCTTTAATAAGCAATGAAATGGGGGAGGGAAAATCTACCTAAAACCAGCCTGAATAATTGATTCTCTGATATCACTGTGTAAAACATTCTTGAAAGGTTTGTTAAAATTGTGGGCTTTAAAAAAAAAAAAAAAATCCACACCCTGCAAGAGGGTATGCGATAATTCAGGCTCTGTCAGTAAGAACTGGTTGGCCTAGAAATAAACCTTAAATACCGGGTGTAACAAGATGGCAAGAGACAAGCAACATTAAGAGAGTTCTTTTTTTAGGTTTTAGGTTTTGGGTTGTTTATTTCCTTTTAGGAGAGTTTCAATCACATCATGTTTTATGGTTTGCTGCTTCCCCCCATCTTTTTTTTTTTTCCTTCTGAAACAAACCAGTCTTTCTGCTTGGCTGTTTTTGAAATCTATTGGAAGCGCTGGTTTTCTAGTTAGGATCTTGTGTGACTTGCTCCTCTGTTGGGACGTAATAGACGGAGAGGTGTTGCTGCATCACCAAAGCAACATTCCCCAGCAATGAGGCATGAATTTTGCTAGCTTGTGCGAACACAGCATAGGGTCGTGGTTGAAGATCCTCCCTTCTTTTTAAATTGTTCCCAGCTTATTGTGGATACTCTTTGTCTCTATCAGCTGTCTGGAGCAGAGTTAGAAAAGGGCAATTATATATGATACTTTTCCCTAAGACTCTGCTAGCCTCCAATTATTTTCATGTTAGGGACTTTATGAGCTAGACACGGTACCTCCTTATTTAGTAACCTTTGATAGACTCCTTTTCTGTGAATTTGTCCAGTCTCCCCTTGAACCCTAAAAAAAAATTCAGTATCCACAAGATACTTGGGCAAAGTACATGAAAACAACCTGCCTCCTGCTTGTTTTGAACCTGGCATTCATTGTCTTTGATGTCTTCTTTTGCCCATCTACATGTGCTTATGAAGGCAAATATACCCATTCCCTCTCTGTCCCTGAAAACCACAGATTTTTCAAAGGAAGGACCCAGAGTTATGATCAGGAGGCTGTGATTTTCAAAGCACCTTAGGCAATCAACTCTGATTGAACATTATTGGGAGCTGGCTGCAAACACCTCTAAACCTCTTTTGAAAATCCTGCATTTAGGTTCCCAAACCAGTATTCAAAACTTCTGGCTTTTGTAAAAGCTTCTGGGAGCTCGACAGTTTTCACATTTGTTTTTTAAGCAACTAAATATGGACTTCACACTTTTGCATTTGACAATCTTAAACTACATGTGTGATTAATGCAGTTTGCTCAGCACCCACCTAACACTCTACAGCTTACTTACTTACAAACTAATAATAATGGTATTTAGGTACCACAGTGAATACTATAGAACTCTTGGCACGCTTTCCTTGCATTTACAAATCATGTGCCCAATTCAAATGAAATAGTGACTTTCATTAGAAAGGGTAACAGGGAAGGTAACTGTGGGCAAGGAGCACTGGTTTTGAAAACATTTATCCATAGAAAAAAAAAGGAGTCTGAAAAAGCAATAGCAAGGAAGAGAACATTTTAACATTTCCCTAGTTTTAATGTATTCTCATAAGGAAAATAACCCAAAAAAACCCCCCCCAAAAAAATACCCTAATAGTTTCTGAAATCATGACCTGTTTTGGTCAATACATATGGATAGAAGTCTGCAAGACGACTCATTTCTAGTAAGTAGTATGCTGAGTAAAGGTAAGAACCACTTATTGAAATAAGGTGTTGCCAAAAAGTACCCTTCTGCCTTCCACCCAACACCCACATGCCCCACCCCCTGACAGTACTCAGCCTTTCGAGGAAGGCGAGATATATATACGGCTTGGTGGAGGCCAGACAGACAGTCAGCACACACATCCTGACCAGTCAGAGAGCATGAATGTATTGGCTGGGCAATTAGCACACTTGTAGCCCCAGAGCAGCCACAGGATATATTGTCTCTAGCTGTGTTTATTATTTGTTGGGATATAAAGGAAATGGGACGCAAATCCATAGGAAACCAGGCTCTGTTAGCTCTGGTACTCATGGAATAGCTTGTTTTATTTTTTCAGGAGATCAGAGCAGTCAACTGAAGTCCAAGATGTCCAGATGTCTGGTCACACTCTTCTGGGCTTGTAGCTAGTTAAGAGTGGCCAAGAAAAATATACTTTAAATTATAACTAAAATTGGTTTGGACACTTAGTAAGTAAGGAGAGGGAGGAAAAAATACAAGTTTACTAGTTAAGGGTGGTTGCACATCTATAATTCAAAAAGATCTCAGCTTTTGAAAAATAAAATGAAACTTTGAATGCAATTAGCCCATATGCTGAATTAAGCCCTAAATCAAGCAGAACACATTATTAACTTCTGAAAACTAGCTACAGACCACGCATAATAGAATTTCATTAGCTTTTCTGTAAAAAATGCATAGCCATAGAGTACTTTCCTCGTAACTGCTTCATAGTGCAGCTTGATATAATACACATTACAAGGTGTGGTGTCAGAAACTCCACAGGAGTCTTTATGGTCTATTTCATAAATAAAATAGCTATTCCAATTTGTCCAAATACATATTTATACAGTAGACCATCAGGACTGAAATGACTGAGGAGGTAAATCATGAACAGCATTCCAGTATGAATAAACAATTGCAGTCTTTTTGTTGATGTATTCCTCCATGGCAAGGAAATAACACAAAAACCAGGACCAACCAGTGGCACTTCAGTCCCACTCCCTGATCTCACACGTACCTACAATTGCCTAAACCCCAGCTTTTTTTTTCAGTATTTCTATAAAAACACATAAAAAAGATGCAGAACCAGTTGAAAATATCACCCTTTAGCTCCTAAGGCTGGGTCCAAATGCCCATGAGTTTGGTTTAGCTCCATTGGTCATTTTGTCAATTAAAAAAGCTGCAGAATAATTTGTGATGAGCAAAATTTTCTGCCTCAAAATTAATCACGTGGACCGCTAGACTTCGATGACTGCAGTCCACTCTTAAAAAACGTCTTCTGTAAATCCTCACAATGACTTGGGTAAGACTGTGTTAGGATTATTGATCATAATTAAAATAGATCTACATTGTTGCAGCAGGAAGCTCTCATATCGCCTGCTGTAATTTCAGCAAGGCCTACCAATTCTTCTTCGTCAATAACAAAGATTTAACCTTCACTGCAAATTCCCATCTTTGTCTGGAGTTGAGAGCGGCTTGTTAATGTTATTTGAACTCAGGTGTAGTGTTTTCTTTTTTTAATATGAAAATGACCTTGGTCTAACATAGGATTACTAATTTATGGAATTGACGTCAGTAGTGATTTTTTCTAAATCAAGCCCAAAAGAGTACATTTAATTACATTTTTACAGCAGCATAAACTAAACTGTTGAATTTTCCACTGGTATGACCACTGTGTTTAATTAGTGATAACTGTAAGCCAGCCATGAAGCTTAAAGAGCAACATGCCAAAACTAACCATAGTTAACGTCGGCAACAGTAGACAAAAGAGGCTCTCTAGCCCTTTAGGAGATGAGGTACTTTTTCTCTCTGCAACAAACTGCTTTGAAAATAATCCTTTGATTTTTATTTTTTTCAGTTTAAAGTGTATCCTTTAACAACATGACTGTTTTTGACCCACTTCATAGAAATTGGCTGCATTTAAACTGTACTCAAAGCTCTCCTGTGTACAGTATGTTCTTGTAACTCCTATGTTATTTTTACTTTGGAAAATTAATATCTGTTGGACCGCTAGAAATGTCTGGTGCATTAATATGTGGAGAGAGGATCAACATGAGTGGGTAGGTGAGGGAAAGGACTGCATGTACATCTTATCTCATCAGAAATTGGCTGAATTAGCAAAGTTTCTAATTACTATCTGAGATAGTGATCATCACTGAAATCCTTAGGCCTTCTGCCTGTCTTATGTCGTGATGAGATTTACAGGACTTCTGGCTCAAAGGTGAAATTAGTTCCTTGCAAAGGGCAACTGTTAAAACGTTAATGTTAAAACAGCTAGTGGTAGTCACCACGGCTGATGACAGTGGGTATTTAAGCTCTTTGATTACATTACCTGATAAAAACTGGGAACAGCCTATTACTCATAAAAGCTTAGAATCGGCTCAGCATCAGCTCTCCTCCAAATACTCCACAGTGAGACACCTCTCCAAGAAAAAGGATCCCTCTGTTTCATGTGCAACAGAGGAGCATGCCATGGTGGGGCAGTGCAACAAGCCGCCCAGACTCACATACGGCCAGTGCAGTGCAGACAGGACTCCTAAGAGGCTAAGGGAATAAGGTAGTTTATCCTGCAGGCTTTGAGGATTCCTAAGAGCAGTCTGCCAGTACCTAGAAGGAGGTTACTGGGAAGGTGAAGCCAGGCTCTTTACTGACCTGCATGGCAGCAGGACAACCAACAGTGGTCTGCCTTTAATTTACAGCCATGACCATTCCCTTCTTATATCACAAAAAAGTTTGGACTTTTTAGGTAACCTGTTCCTAGATAAGTTATTTTTATTTTGAAGATACTTTTTTTTGCCTCCATCTCCCATGAAACAATTATCACAAGTCCACATTCTCTAGCAACATTTCTGAAGGAGTTACTGTACTGTCTTCTTTCTTCTCTCTTTACAGTAGAGGGTCTCCAGTGCTTTGAGGGAATGTCTGGCCCCATTATTTTCCTCCCTCTCTCATGTTATGAAAGAACACATAAGGAGGTTTTAATGAGACTGAAGTATAAGAACAGTGGCAGGATAGAGATCGATAAATTCATGACACTAATGACGTCATGTTCAAGCAGAGGTCTATGCAAATTTCTTCTCCTTTGAAACTGTGCTAACACGAAATCTACTGAAGGTCAGTTGAATCCTCTTTCATTTCTCCCTCATCTTAGTATTATTTCAAGTGTTTCTGAGGTTGTCACTTGTATTTAATTTCGTTCTGATACTGAAGACTTGCAAACGATTTATCACAAGTTACATGTTTCAAAATAATTGAGCTGCAGAGTGGAAAACCAGATATTTAGCATATGGAACTTGTGCAATCCCAGAGCACCCAGCATTAAGTTAATCAGCAAAACCAATTTAGTTTTAGACAAAAGAATAGGAAAAACTCTTTTCAAAAACCCGTTCCTTCTTTCAGGATCCTTCCTATAAATCATAAAACGCCATTTTAGCAGTCTGTCCCTATTGGGTAAAATACGTAAACATGTCCTGAAGGAAATATGTAATTGTACCCTGTTAACTTCAGTGAAGACAGGTCTCCCTGTTGATTTAAATAGGACACGCTTAAAGTATTTGTGTAGGGGCTTTGCTGACTAGAAGAGAACACAAGTGATGGCATAATATGATCATTCCTGAAGAGTAAAGGGATAAAAAGCTGATGGTTGAGCTAAACATCATGCAGGCAGAAGGACAGCTTTCTATTGTACTTTCCACTGCTGCCCCAGACTGTGTCTCAGATTTCTGTACACCTTTTTTTAACTTGCACAAATCATCTGCAGAGGTGTTGGATATACATATAGCTAGGCTGTTATTCACAGGTATAAAAGGTACCCAGCCCTAAGAATTACAACTCCATTCATTTATTATCTACAAATTTTACAGGCCAACTATATCCTTCAAAAAGCAGCACCTCAGATTTGACAATACAAATGTCATTTAGAAAAAAAAACCCCAAAAACAAAACAAAAAAAAAAACCCAAGTATTTTATTTTAAATTTACAGATTTATAGGAGGCAAAAACTCTGGCCAGCAATAATTACCTGCCCTTTAGCCACCTCTAAAAAGAAGGCAAAAAAAGCAAATATACTTCTTCTATATTTATTCTCTCTAAAAGAATAAAAAAGAATTTAAAGAATGTGAAGAAAGAACTTACTTTCAGTGCAAATAGGACAGCATCCTTTTCTGTTCAGGATTTTACCCTAATTGGGAGAAAGACAGGCTGATTTAATGAAAGAGTTTTTGGAGTAATGACTGTGTTATGCTGCAAGGCTGGATAAGCCTCTGAAAACAGTTCAAGTTGTGTTTGAACTCAATGCTCTGGTTATAGCTTCAAATATCAGGTGCTAAAAACAAGGCAGAACTATTCAAAGAGCTTCCTGGCAGTCTTATAAGAAATGAAATACTAAAAGGGTTCTCTGTTACCACTTTTCTCTTTAAAGAGAGTGTGAGAGGATTTTGGACTCATGTATTCACGGATATCTAAAGCCGACCAGCCATTGGGTTAACAAGATCGCTACCTTTTCCACCACCTCCCAGAATATATACAATAAAACTTCTATGCACACCATTTTAGTCACCACACAGTGGCAACCTGCTCCACCCCTACCCTCTCCCCAGATCATTAATTTATTCCTACAAAAACTAAGGAAGGGAGAAGGCACTGGTAGAGATCTAGTTTGGCCAGATTTCTTTCATGGCTAAATCTCGCAGTATCTCTCACCAAATCATATACCAATCATGGACCAATTTCCACAATGATGCGAATAGGCATGCACCCAAGGATGTGCAATATCTAAAAGCCATTTGTCCTGGTCATGCTAATATGGACAAAAGGTTTGAGTCTTTATTTACCACTCTGCCCAGGTCAATTTTATTTATGGTTGTGTCTCATACAAGGCTGGCTAGAAGCAGGAGGCAGGCTTCTGTGTACATACATTCATGCTCCTTTTCAGTCTTTATTGAATTAAAAGATGTACTATCTGATTTTACTTAAATTCCCTAAAGCTAACCATCAAGCTAGAAGATAAGCCTGGAAAATTTCAGACTGAACTATGTGTTTTTACAAGCAAAAACTGGTGTGGGTTATAACAGAACTTACGGTGACATTGGAGCTCACCCATATTCCCATACAGGGAAGGAAGAGCCATATGGAGCTGTGCTGCTCCCCAGCACTGACCCTTTGCTTCAACAGCAGTTGAGCACAGAGAAAGTCCACTGTGTGGGACCACTGCTCCCGTTCCCCACCAAGCATGTGAGCAAGGAGTAGCTCGCAAAAGTGAGCAGAGACATGCTATTCTGCTCACACAACAGCGTGGAAAAGCTCGTGAAAACAAGCCAGAAATAGGTGGCAGGTCTATGCAGAGAGTGGAAAAATGGACCCAGGCAGCAGTTCTGGGCTCCTCAGTTCAAGAAGGACAAGGAACTCCTGGAGAGGGTCCAGTGCAGGGCCACTAAGATGATGAAGGGCCTGGAGCACCTTCCACCTGAGGAAAGGCTGAGAGAGCTGGGTCTGTTCAGCTTGGAGAAGAGGAGGCTGAGGGGGGATCTTATCAATCTTATCAATATCCAAAGGGTGGGTGTCAGGAAGATGGCATTCTCG